AAAAAAATCAACTTTTGGAACCAATTTGGAGCAAGGAAAGGCTCGGGAATCTGTTTTGGAATTTTTCACATGGTATCACCTACAAAACCCTGAAACAGTTTCAGCGAGCATGCCATTACACGGGTGGGTCACGATGCGCCTCGAGGTCATCGCGCGCGGTTGTTAAGCATTAGACCACCTCCAAATGCGGTTCTCAGTCATGCTCTTCCATATGTACAATCTATCAACTTGTAGTCTGTAAAAGTCGCAAAATAACAATTATTCACGATTCTTCATTTGAAAATCACTGGAAATTTGTCATTGCAGGTAATCACTACTTCCGTTTTCGTTCGGCTACAGTTGACCCAACATCCCCAGTGTCACCCGGATTGGATCCCGCTGCTCGCAGAATTAACCATTTACGGTTCGATCAACGGGTTCTCTAGGACGTTCTTTGGTAAGCTCCTAATTTGATACACAATCCGAAGCCAAATGTCAAAAGAGCCAGACGAATTTCTTTCATTCAGTCTGGTCAGCCATCAACAGCAAGAGATTACTTCAGCGGTATATCCCAAAGTTACTACGGGCTCCCTTAATGGTCTAATGTCGTCTAGTCCTACTGATCTCCACGGAATGTTCTTCTGACCGCTTGTAGTGAGGGCTAATAATAATCTGCGTTCATGCGGATGCATAAAATCGGAGAAAAAGGAGGAACGGAAGAAAGAGTGCTATGTATAGATCATTTGAATAAATTATTTATCTTCAGAAATCCATAATACTGTTTCTCAATTTTGAAAGAACATTTTCAAAGCATAGAAAACGGCGATTCACAATTACCCGAAACAACCAACGGGGAAAATAGAAATATTCAAGAAACAAGGCTATAACAAAGGCAAGTCTCAGACCATAAAACGATAGGAAAAATGTGAGAAAGCTTTGAACCTGCTTGTAAAAATGCATGGGAAACAAAAACAATATGATGCCTTGGTCACAAATATACAGTAACAATATATAGGCATACAAGTTACTTCACTATAAAAAGGCTACTATAAAAAGGAATTTGACTAATAGCTAGGTAAACATATAAGCTAATTCAAATGGTAAATCGGTTCTGTGAACGGTACCGGGTTTCACGTTGAACTAGGCGATTTTCCTTTTCTCGCGGAATCCCGCACAGGTTTTTGAGCTATATGTGTTTCATATATATTTAGTTTATACTTTTTTATATTTGCTTTCCATTCTGATAATTTTTGAAATCGTTTAAACCGAAAATCCCTGAGTCTGCTGAAAACTGGAATTCTAACAATGAGATCGAAAAACCGCAGTCTTGTAGTAAAATCAAGATTTAGCACTTCCAACAATAAGCAAAATAGACCCAAAATGAACCTCATTAGCAACAGCTGCCTTTTTCAAACCCGCTTATATCGCTGGGCGGGGGGAGGGGGATGGANGGGGGGGGGGCAGTCTTTGCCCTACTGTGCAGTTGTGCAGTTTGCCGCACGGCCTCACTGTGAATTCCAAAACAATTCATTCGCACTCTCTCCAACTGCGTTCCACTGCAATGCCTCCCACTCCCGCATCCCTCTCCCTTTCGATTGTGATGGTTGAAGTTATTTTCGCAAAGTGAAAAATAGAGCATAATATTGGAACTAATCTGTTTTCGCATCTTCATGTTGTCAAATTCCATTACCCAGGATCATTTGTGTAAAGAAGGGCCTAGAAATGACCTACATGTGCATGGGAATAATTACTAAAACGGGATTCGAACAAAAAGTTATCTAATTCTAACCTGACTAATTGTGCAACTTTGGTCAAGATTAAATAGCAAACAACAGAAAAAAAAACAGAAAAGGAAAAAATGGTCCAAATCGCTGTAAACATAAGTCTTTTGACAGCAAATGTCACAAATAAATCTCTATCACCGTGCTAATTCCGATTGCAATAAAACAGCTAAAATTTGCAGAGATGTTCTTCTTTTTTCAAGTTAAGAACTGAGAAGAGTACCTAAAGCTTTTCTGTAGGTCTCTAGGTGAGAATTTTGTATATTGATAAGAATGATTGATTAGAAAAGCGCTACCTGCATCATGTCACCGTCGAGACCTGAGTTTGCAATATGGTGTCCACTTCATATCACAGTAGATATGCACGTCAACCACATTCACGGTAGCTTCACCGTAGGTTCGAGTTCGACGTGCGGTGATGTTGTACTTTACATTATTCAAGCCAGAAATCTATAAAAATCATAAATAGCCTATTTTGTCCGATCCTTATCTTATCATAGAATTCGATCTCGTTAGTTAAGCATGGTATAAGTCAATTTGCTCCTTATATCAAACATTCTTTTATCCTATTACTTCTGGTTCTGCCTAAAACTCGAAGTAGGATGTGTATAGTTAGATAAGACCACAATGTGAAAGTGCAACTAAGCACGAGATACTTGCTTTTATGAGGCCAAGGAAGCTAGTAACAAGAATCCAGGTATTCAGGTATTTTTTGCTGATTTAAAGCTTGAATCTAGACACGAGACACAGCATCATCAAATAAAAAAATAAAGCAATCGTTGACTTACACGATCCCTTTTCCTTTTCATTGCCTTTTGTTCCTTTGTTACCACTGCGTAGTCACGTTTCCTTTCAGCACCATGAATATGGCGGAACGTATTTGAACGATTTGTAGAGAGATTAGCGACCCTTGTCAGATTCAATGACGCGTCCCTGAAGGATTTTCAACATAGAATCAATCAAATGAAACAATAGTAAGATTCGGGCGGCTTCACCTCCCCATCAAGATCCTATTAACGAGGCTGAAAAGTATCTGGCCTTGGACAGAAAAAGTTAAGTATTAACAGGCTTTTGATGGGAAATCGAAGCCAACCGTGTTTCGGACCATGCAAATGTGTTAGCGAAGCATGCAGAAGCAAGAAGTTTATCAAAACTAGCTCAATATCAAACACCTCCCTTAAATCAAACGCTTACATTATTCGTAGGTAGAACTCGTCATCTTCAAGTCCCCATCCCCAATACTTGTTCGACATGCCATTCAAATCCTTGTAATCGTTCATGGTTAGCATCAAAACGCCGCCAATAAACTTCGAATAGTTGTATCTTTAAAAATATAAACGAATGTTATAAAAAAGTAAACAAATTAACAAAACCAAGAAAGTTTCTCGTGAAAAAAAAAAGACAAAACACACTTAGGATGATACTGTGGTGCAGAAATGTGCCTCACAACGCCTTCACCAGGAAACCGATAGCTGATCTCTGGATTGAGCGGTAACAGATCGACATCATGCATCACCATGTAATCGCAGCCGAGACGATCAGATTCGAACCAACCAACCTAAATGCAATCAAAAATTCGGAAAAAAAACGACGAAAAAACTGGTCCTGGACGGTATTTCCGTACATTGATAAGTGAAGCTCTGTTGAATCGGAACTCATCGGTCTGATTCATCACCATCAAATAGTGGTCCACTCGTTGTTCACGCAGGAATTTGCTCATATGAGGAGCGAACTCTGACAGCTCTTCTTCTCGATCTCGGTAAGGCACTGAATACCTCTTGTAATTTACACTATTCAGGTCAAAATCGTTACATTCTTTCAACGGGATTGAACGGAGGATTGTTCGAGGGCAGAGAAGTAATTAGTTATCCAGAAAATGAGGTCGAACGTTTAGAAAGCCAAAACACGGTCACGACAAAACAGAATATGTTGGAAATAAGCTATCTACTCTCTACAACAAAACAGAAATTCAACTATTAATTTCAGGAGCCGGAAACCGTGTAGGAATGAAATGGAGAAAAATTCTACAGTAATCAAAAACCCACCAATTACGCACAGCTTATGAGTCCGAGGTGTGACAGTAGAAGCCAGTTCATCTCTAAAAACAGCATTTCTAGAAGACGTTCTTGATCAAAAGAGGATAATCTGTTCGATGGAGTTATAACATTAGCGTTGTTGCGCTAAAATACTCGACAGCACTTATTGGTTTCATCTTACTGCAGTGCGGGAGACGGGTGTACGCCATGCATCTGAACACGATGCACGCACAGCCAAATTGGATGGTTTGAATCGGGGAATAAAAGAGGAATGCTGGGCCTTCAAATCAACTTACCCATCAGTTAGGGAATTACTCAGAGTGATAACAATGTATGTGAATGATAAGGCATTGATGACCACCACAGGAATCAACAGTCGCTGTAAGAGTCGCCCTCTGCACATGCAGATCCGATTGAACGGTAAGGCCTAGAAATAAATTGCTTCATAAACCAACTCATTCATATCAGACGGATTCATTCCAAGAGATCTCAAGCATGTAGGAGTCTACGGTGAAAGGCTGAGCAGTAGCAAAAAGCTCTCCATATCTCACGATCTATTCCTGTGGTCAAAGTTCTTACAAAACAATACTCCAATACCATGGAAGTTCGTCTTGACATCATCACCTCAGCCTTTCTATGAAACCAAGAGAAGTCGATTCAGTGCTCTATTAAAAAAGAGAGTTGCAACGCTAGATAGGAATGCGACGCGACTAGCTAGAACCAGGACGAATCAGCACGTTGAGGACCCGAGAGAAATGCCTTCCCAAAAGAACATTGAATAATTGACAAAATGCTGAATGATCTCGACCAGCAATTGAACGTAAATACAGCAAGAATGGATCTGAAGGCAGTCAAATCTTCGCGAACCAACATCGTTGATAAGGCAAGCACTACTTACACTTTCCGAGGGACCGAATAGACTGGGCAATACTCAGAACCACGCACGAACTCACTTCCACGAATTGCGGGCATCGGCCTTGACATGCATCGAAACGCCCGTAATGTTCCTTGTGTCGCGTGCAATTTGCGTACAGTGCGCGTCGCAGCCGTCGGTTGGCTGCGCAGCGGCTACCGTAATGCTCTTCGGTTTTCGATCGGTGTCGCAGTCGTACAGGACAGTTCAGTCGATCATTCCTCTTCGCTGAGGCCATGTCGTCGTTGTCAACGCATTTCCTCTCTCTTCATCGCATTCCTTCCTTCCATTTCCTTTTGTCACATCGCACCTTAACTAGCGCTCAGCCATTATTCTCCGCTACGTGTTTTCTATCGATTTTGCGGGCATCAATACTTGCTGGCGGGCTTTTAGCTGCCTGCCTCATTATAACCTCGCCGCTCCTTCAATTCTACCCAAAACACTGGTGGGGGTCCATTTTTCCTCATTTGATTAAGAATTCCAGCTATCGTTGTAGGTCGCTCTGGCTTTAGTCCGTGCTCGTTCAAGGTTTTCACCGTGGTTCTCCTACAAATTCTTGCGCTTTTCAGGCCATGCCGGACGTGGATCCGAACCTCAAGCTGAACGAGCAGGCCATGTACGGGCCGTTCTTCGGCACTCTCGGCGTCACAACTGCTATGATGTTCACTGCAGCCGGATCAGCCTATGGAACCGCAAAGTCTGGCACCGGAATCGCCTCGATGTCTGTCGCTCGTCCGGATCTCGTCATGAAGGCCATCATTCCCGTGGTAATGGCTGGTATCGTGGCTATCTACGGTCTCGTCGTTGCCGTTATCGTGTCTGGTAAGGTAGCGCCGGGTGGTCCCGAATACACCCTGAACACGGCATTCGCACAATTTGCCGGCGGCCTGGTATGCGGTCTATGTGGTCTGGGAGCTGGTTATGCGATTGGAATTGCTGGTGACGCGGGAGTGAGAGCCCTCTCACAACAGCCGCGAATATTCGTCGGTATGATTCTGATGTTGATTTTCGCTGAAGTGCTTGGTCTGTACGGTATGATTGTTGCCCTCATTTTGGGTGCAACATAATCATTTAACGATGTGTGTACTTACGTCTGTAGATTAACTTCTTTACTCCGAATTGTGATGCTTGATTCTCATTATATTAATGAATAAATTTCTTTGTATTGCCTTCTGAGTGAAGCTGTCTAAGCGTTCCAAACGCCGCCTATTTGATGTACTTTTGAAATTCTCTTTACAAATGATGCTTTTAAGGACTTCGTTCTAAGTTATCGTTGCCTTAAAACTATTTTCAGGATGTCGTACGATTTAAGCACCGCCGAGTCTCCAGCGTACGCTCCATTCTTCGGTTACATGGGCGCCGCCTCAGCTCAGGTATGGTTTTTAATCACTTTTGAACGTCGCGAACAACATTTTTTCTATTGAGTGATCATGTTCATGTACTGTGAAAGAGCTGTTCAAACAGCGTTTTTTGGTTATCCTA